TGCCAATCCAAACAGATGATGATTTAGTTCGTTTAAATCAAAAGTTATCAGAAGATACTAAATTGTCTTCAATTTTGGTAATTATAACATTTTTAAAATATTTTTTAATTGATTAACTCATTAATAATTATTAACATAATATTTCAGAGATTTTTTTGTGTGTATGTGTGCAATATTTAATTCTTTGTAGACTTTAAAAGCAAATCAAATTATTGTAGCCACTTAAATTTAGAAAGCTACAAGCAGTTTCTTATTTATTTTTGAGAAAATGTTGATTTCTTACATAATGAAGTCATAAATCCTTTCTTTTTATGTCATTTAATCTTTCGAAAATAATATATTCAGCATATATATTATCTAAAATTAATGAAATATAGAGTACAAAAGTGGTACTAAAAGCGTATATGGTGTTGGTCCAATAAGGGTTAAATCTCTTTTAAATATATTTAAACATTTCTTAAATTTTAATCATTTAGATATTTTTTGCTGCTAGAAAACAAAAAAAAAATTAATAAGCTTTCACCATTTAGATGTTTATTTAAAATATAATCTTTTACGGTAGGACTAAGACAAAACACATTTCTAATTAAATTTTTAAAAAAAAGAGAAATTAAAATAAATAATAAAAAGTTAAGTTTTTATTATTTTACTAATTCCAAACATTTTGTAAAATAACCATCATAATAATTGTTTGTTAATCATACAATGGAAAATTTTTCAAATTAAAATTAATTTTTAAAAGTGTTTACTTTANTGAAACGTTTGTTTTATGAATTGGAGCGGTTGAGGCTGCAGATTAAAAAAAATGGCACATGAGCATGCCCAAATGAATGCCACATTTGTAGGGTTACAAATTGATGCTGGAAAAAGGGTTGCCACTCCCATCACTTCCAATCTTATTCCGGACCTTAATTTGCCAATCCAAACAGATGATGATTTAGTTTGTTTAAATCAAAAGTTATCAGAAGATACTAAATTGTCTTCAATTTTGGTAATTATAACATTTTTAAAATATTTTTTAATTAACTCATTAATAATTATTAACATAATATTTCAGAGATTTTTTTTTGTGTATGTGTGCAATATTTAATTCTTTGTAGACTTTAAAAGCAAATCAAATTATTGTAGCCACTTAAATTTAGAAAGCTACAAGCAGTTTCTTATTTATTTTTGAGAAAATGTTGATTTCTTACATAATGAAGTCATAAATTCTTTCTTTTTATGTCATTTAATCTTTCGAAAATAATATATTCAGCATATATATTATCTAAAATTAATGAAATATAGAGTGCAAAAGTGGTGCTAAAAGCGTATATGGTGTTGGTCCAATAAGGGTTAAATCTCTTTTAAATATATTTAAACATTTCGTAAATTTTAATCATTTAGATATTTTTTGCTGCTAGAAAACAAAAAAAAAATTTAATAAGCTTTCACCATTTAGATGTTTATTTAAAATATAATCTTTTAGGGTAGGACTAAGACAAAACGCATTTCTAATAAAATTTTTAAAAAAAGAGAAATTAAAATAAATAATAAAAAGTTCAGTTTTTATTATTTTACTAATTCCAAACATTTTGTAAAATAACCATCATAATAATTGTTTGTTAATCATACAATGGAAAATTTTTCAAATTAAAATTAATTTTTAAAAGTGTTTACTTTAGTAAAATTTATTTGTATATTTAGTTAGATTTGCTTTGTTCTTTTACTTTACATTTTATTGCAACTTGTCTTACAGCAATACTAAATTATGCATAAGCTGGTTCCTTAAAATTTTTCTATCTATTTTACTTCAATAATAACTTTTTTGCTTTTATTTTTTTTAGGTTAGCCACCTTTCAAATATATCTTATGGCAAAAATTTGTCCTTCTTTACCACTAACTTATTAAAAAAAATTTTTGTCAAAGATGTTGCTCTGCAATACAGTAGACTTGGGAGAAAGGGAAAGAAATCTTTTGAAGACTTGAGAGAAATATTCCATGTGCTTTTGNCGACTGATGAGTTGTTTACAAGCCGTCCGCCATATTTGTGTTTTGTCCAACTACTTCTCTTTCGTTACTGTTTCGGATATTTATTAACTAGGAAATGTCAGGTAAAAAGAAAAATCATTAATCTCTTAAAAAGAAAGTTCAACGACATATAAAATTGACTGAAAAGCAGTTGATTTTGGACTCTCTTGTTAGTAAGGCCAGACGAAATTATTTAATATCTTCTTGCCCCTCTTCTGAAAGGTACATATATCATTATGTTTTGTATGATCATTAAAAGACTTTATGTTTTGACTTTCGATCTATATTCTGGTTTTCTTTCTTTTGAAATATTACGTTTGAAACGTAATCTGTAAAATTATTTTAAGGATGAAAATGTTCAAATTTAAGCAATAGTTTTCAACTCTTTTAATTTCTAATTTACGTTATTTAAGAGGCCAAGTGAAAGAAAATGAATCTGCCTTTTAACAATCTTCGAAGCTAGATTGCTATATATCGAGTTAATATGAAATTTGTTAATGTAACTAAATATTAAGAACAAATTAAGTTTTGTCTTAAGAAAATGACAAGCAATGTCAAGCATTACGATACTTAAAATCATTTGTTTTGATAAAAACAATTCTTTCCAATTTTTGTTTTACTTTGGTTCAAGTATAGGTTTGTTTTTTTTTTAAATTGTTCACTTTACTTTTTTTCTCTTATTTTTATTAGCTACAATGGCACTCCGGTTTCCAGAAGTTAAACGTGAAGAGCTCTAGACTTGGCAAGGTACTCTCTAGTGCAAAAGAATGGGGTAATTCAAAGAAAAGATCTTCGCTGGNATTTGCAGATTTAATATTACTTAAAATCATTTGTTTTGATAAAAACAATTATTTCCAATTTTTGTTTTACTTTGGTTCAAGTATAGTTTGGTTCAAGTATAGGTTTTTTTTTTAAATTGTTCACTTTACTTTTTTTCTCTTATTTTTATTAGCTACAATGGCACTCCGGTTTCCAGAAATTAAACGTGAAGAGCTCTCTGAAAGACTTGGCAAGGTCCTCTCTAGTGCAAAAGAATGGGGTAATTCAAACAGGCCTCCCAAATGGTCCACAATTTTCTCAAAAGTTCGCAAAAAAAAATTACCACCGCAAAAGTC